GGTGGGCTTAGTCAAAACAGTATGGCCACTCACATAAATCAACCAGCCTGCTGCTTTCAGCTTCCGGGTGGTGGCAGGCATCCGCGGTCCGGTAGGCAGGCATCCGCGGTCCGGCGGAGTCACACATCCGTGCAGTCAGCTGCGCACAGCGTCCCGTGACCCCTCGCTGTCCAGCGAGCCTGGTTGCTTCGCCGGAGGGACGCAGCGTGGCGCGGCGCCATTAATTGGAATGTGGGTAGGCCGCCCGACCGGACCGGCAGTGCGAAGCGAAGTTGCTGGTGAAAGGTGACGCTGACGCGGGGTTCAGCTGTTCAGGGGGAGGCACAAGACGCTGTATAAGACCAACATTTGCTAATTATGAATTAATTAAGACTGAATAGATTTGTCTAGTTAATTAGTCTATTTATGTGCAATTATTTTTATAATTAGCTCATATTTAGTCTTTCTAGTTAGCATCCGAACGTCCAATATGACACGACTAAACTTTAGCCCCTGTATCCCCTCAGAACACTGAACGGTGAACACCGTAGTACTCCATGACACAGGTTGAAGAACATACTGTTAGGATGATCTCTACCAGTTGGCCCAACGGTCAATTGGACCCTTGATCCGTGCTTTGATCTGGGACGCTTCGTCGGTTCTCCTGGCTGATGGGCCCCTGTCGTGCAGCGCCATAAAAGGACGGTAGGGGCTGGGGCACAAGACAAGGGCGTCATTCGCTTCGCTGAAAAAATAAGCCAAAACACTGTTTCGGTTGATTTGTTATGAGAGAAAAACACTGTTCCGACAAGCTGAAAAAGACGGATTATAAGATAAACGAACAGGGCCAAGAGGTCACCGGTAGCCGCCAGCCCCACCCCAAAGTTTCTAACTCGAGAAGGGCGCTGTGAGCGACGGGAAGCGCCATTGCCTTCGTCGCCGCCACACCACCGCACCTGCACTGCTGCTGCGTTCGATGATCTGGATCGTGCCTGCACGACTTCCCCTACTCCGACATCAGTGGCCACATCACTGCGGCGCCGTGGCCGCGACTGTGCTTGACGACCCAAGTCTTTTATCTAACTAAGTGTTACCTACGGATCTACGCATAAAAGTACTTTTAATCCATCACATACAGTCAGCCTATTCGGTTGGCTGGTTCGTTTCGTTGCTGGTTCGTAAAGAAATACTGCTGGCTGGATTGTGTGAGAGAAAAATACTATTCCGACTGAAAATTTACGATCGTTTACGACAAACCACGGTCAAACGAACGGGCTGAGTACTATCCTGTATTTCTGTACATGCCGAGTACTATGACTAGTAGTAGCACTCGTAGTCTACTAGTAGACGTGTAGTCTAGCCCACCAGGCGACGCCGGCTGACAAGGGAAAAAAGCCTGCCTCTGCACCAATGAGACAAGACGGATCTCTGTACGACCTGAAACAAGCAGCATGAACTGTACGAAATGCAACTGTTGTTGATCAGGCTTCAGGCCCCGTAGGAAAGCCAAGACCGAAATCTTTAGTGCTCCGTGTTCTACGCGTGTTGTAGCGTGGGGGAGCAGCGACGGGCGCCAGAGCCTGCGAACTCCTCTCAGGGTGATCAATGCTGGCATCTACTCCTCCTCAGTCCTCACAGTGCACCTAATTTTAATTTCAATTTTTTTTTAAAGAGGGAGTACTAGTATATCGCATCTTCCTGCTCGCTGCCGCTGCGTCCTTCCATACCACTTCCCAGTCGTGCTCTGCTCCTGCTCGTACCGAGCTAGCTACCTCTCCGTCCGTCCGTCCGCTTGCTGTTTCTGGAGCCCCGAGAGAGAGATGAGGTCTAAGCGGAAGGCCACCAGCTTTCCCGTTCGGTGGCAACCATATGCAGAGCTGACGGCTGCGGCATGCGGCGGCGAAGGCTCCCTCCACACCTCTCTGCTCGGTGGAGGTAGATATATTTGTGTTTTTTTCTGGTTTTATGGAAAATAATAGTGTGCTAGCTAGACTAATTCACGAATAAACCATCTGTCAATAGGCCTTTCCCTGCTTATTAATCTTTTTATTATCGTTGCCATTTCGATCCATCTGTCAATAGTGGATTAGAGTTTTGAGGGTTTCAGTTCTGGGCTCGAACTTCTTTTAGCTTCAGGGTTCTAGGATCGACTTGATCCTCCGTATTATTTACTTGCATTGGGAATCAGATCCATTCCACTCCACTTTTTCGTACAATAGTCGATCCTAGATGATCCTCTCTTTCAAACCCTTTTTATTTACCAGAACTGGCAGGTGCTCTGCCTTTTCGTTTAGTAGGAAGCAAATTTTGAATATTTTCAGGATATGTTAAAGGAGCAAAGTGCTGAATATATATATATATATATATATATATATATATATATATATATATATATATATATATATATATATATCGTCTAGTGAAAAGCTACTGAAACTACTCGCTAGCGACACAAAGCATGTGTTCATCGTTACGGATCACCTCTAGGAGTTCCTGTGTAGTGCGAGTCTTGTTGTCAAAGACTCTGCTGCATTTATCCTTCCACAAATTCTAAGCAGTTTATGTCCTATCCCTTGTTTTTTATCATCTGTATCCACCATTCTCCGGGTAATTGATAGACCTTGTTTATTGTTCGATCGCCCCACCAGCTGCCATAGTCTTTTGGCATAACTACAATTGGCCATCATGTATGTGCAGATGAGTTTCTTGCTTGTAGTGACAATTTACAAATTGGGTCTGCTTGTCCCCACCCCCTACCCCCACCCCACCAACTGCAATTGGCCATCTTGTGTACATGAGTTTCTTGTGTGCAGTGACACTTGACAAATTGGGTCTGCTTGTCCTCACCCCCCACCTGATGATTTGATCAGGCATTGGCAGTTTTGATTTGAGCAGTACCTAGACGAAGAAGCGGCACTTCCAAACTGTACAAGACCATGTTCGGTTAATCCTCTTTCTAACGATATTAAATAAGATCAGAGAGATTTTATTTTTTATGAGATTTATCCCCTCACCGAACAAAACATGGCCTAAATGCAAAAGCAAGCCAGCTAGACGGTGGTTCCGGACACGATGGCAACAAAGTAAGGTACATGACCATTGGCTAAGATTCTTATGCCGTACGTCTCCATTGTGGAAGTACACATTGACCCAACAAAGGTCTACTCTAGCCAGGTCTCAAGCGACCTCTTTTCACACAGCACTAAGTGATATTTTTCCACTTTTAGAGGCAAGATCAAGCCCTCACAAACTGTCTGGACACACATCACAACCTTGGTTGCTTGCCGACGACACCTAGCCATCTAGGATAAGGCTCCAAGAGTAACAAATGTTTCATATCGAAACTTGATGTTGCCACAAAGTGCTCGAGGCTTGCTCAGCTCTATATTGCTCACACACATGCTCACAAGACTCAAAATCTTGCTCTCCAATTCAATGGATATGGCTAAGTTCACTCAAGTCTTATAAAAAGTGAATTGGGAGCTCTCACAAGGCTTTGCTGGTGTATACTAATGTGGGAAAGCTTCAACAATTAACCAAAGACCGTGGGTTGGAGGTATGAATAGACCTCCCACAAAATCTAGTCGTTGTCGCTCTATTTGCCAAAACTGACTTAGCCGGTTTGGCAAACCAGCCTACCCGGTTTTTCAAACCTGTTAGCCGTTGGACACTCAGAGCAGCAAAACTGTCCCAGCATGCTCACCAACAATAATTCTCTCAGCCATGCTAATTACTTGGATTTGTCACTTGGGATGGTTTTGTGCACTTTTAGGTCACATCTAGCATCTAGTGTTGTATCCCTCTTAATAGTATGACATCCCTATACTCAAGAATTAAATATTCAAAATTAATTCTACTTGAGCTTGTCTTTCTTCATATAATGTCGTTGCTTCATTTTTCAACATTTTAGAGCTTCTAACACCTTTAAGACTTTGAGCTGAATCACCTTGAGCTATGACTTTGGATATCTTCAACCATATAATCAAGACTACACTTTTCATCCACAAGTAATCTTCTCAAGTACTTCAACAACGATTTGATCCTCCACATCAACATGACTATGCATAGCTTGATTAGTATCTCGACTCAATGTAACTACTCTCTTTGTCACCTTAGCTAGGTCCTTCAGTCACAAGCCGTTGCTTGCCCTTCATTCTTGGTTAGTACCTTGAAGCGATTTCCTTGCTATCTTTATCTTATCAAGCTATCAAGTCACATCTTATTTTGAATCAACTATAAGCACACATTGAATACCATCTCATATGTGTTGTTGCCTTCTGCTTGAACTATTTCTATCAGCTTCCTTCTCAATGATCTTTATTTATAAACCATTCAAGCATTAACAATTGATCATCAATATAAAAAACCATTTCATCATCTTGATTAGAACAAGCAAGCTTCAAGAGTGAGATCATTCCACTCATGCACGTTATCAATAACCTTGGACTCATTTCTCAGTTATATCATTGCTTTTACAATATGAGTTCAATCACACATTAAGAGTACCGAGAATAAATACCTGCAAATCTCATGAAATACACTAGTCCCTTAATTGTTTTGTCATTTGATCCACTAAAACCCCACTTAGGACCTAGATGCACTTTCAAACACTAAATTGACTCTTTCCCCTTTAAATATTATGTAATTTTGTTTATTTATGGATAGCTACTTGAACAGTTTATATATGTTTAATTTATCAATATTGTCCTGTATTGTACTTTTATATGCTTGGGAAATGGAATATCCAACTTCAAAGTCTTGGCTCTGCTGTTGGTATTGAGTTTACCATCTGGGAACAAATGAAGAGAATGGTGTGGGAGGAAAAGACCCCCTTGAATCTTGCTCGCAGTTTTAGTATATGGTAATAATAACAAACATAAGAACATATAACAACGAGCTTGATTCTGGCGACTTGCGCGCGCACATAATGTTCTTGGAATTTTTGTTTGTCTTTTATCGCAGGACGCAGCAGCGGCATTGTGGAACGAAACCTGCTATCCCAGTTCAAAGGTGACGCCAAGATGCAGGTCACGGATGACCGGCCGGAGCCATCGTTGGCGCTCAGCCTCCGCGTGGGATCCGAAGAGGAGCCGCAGCCGCAGCCGCAGAATCGCCTTCGGCACGCGCCGACCCGGCAGAGTCCCAGTCTTCTCTCCCGGCCCGCAGGCTCCAGCGTGCCGCCCCAGACATACTACGCACCGGCCTCGTCGCCTGCTGGGGCTGGGCTGGCGCCGCAGCTGCAGCTCGGCAGCAACAGCCTCCCACTCCCGCTCCCGCTGGGGGCGACGCCGCCAAGCGCCAGAGCCGCGCTGCGTCGCGTGCAGCCTCCACTACGGTCGTTTGGCGGCGGACTTGCTGAAAAGGGTGAGCGAGGACCTCGATCGCACTCGCAGGGTGGGGTTGCTGCGCCAGGAGCTGAGCGCCGAGGTGAGAAACGAGGTCCTGCGGCTCCATGCCGCCGCCGCGGCGGCAGCAGAGCAGGGGTCCCCCTCCCCGCTGCTGCGTTCTCGGCAGCAGGCTTGCCGCAGCCGCAGCAGCCCTGCGGAGGCGCGTGGCGCTGGTGCCCCGCCTGCGGGGCCAGGGCGGGGACGGTGGTCCTCAAGCCGTACGAGCACATCTGCCTCTGCGCCCAGTGCTCGGACGCCAGCCGCCTGTGCCTGCATTGCTATTGCAGCTTCACCTGGACAGGGGCTGTCGAGGCTGCCTCTCGTGGACGTGGTCGTGGATGTGGACGTGGAGGACTCTAATTTTGGCGGGAACTGTGCCACTGCTGTGTGAAAAAATCATGCGGGCTTTTGGTCTTAGACTCAGGCACGGATCTAGAAATATAGTACTACAAGAATTCCCTTTTATCTCTTGCATGTTTAGAAAAATTAGAAGAGGGTGTTGAACAACGGGCCTCCACTCTTACTAAAGCCACCCCTGCTTAGTTAGGTTGACTGCTAGTGCCCAGTTTTCTCTTGTTTTCTCATCGTTGGAATAGCCTATGTTCCAGAAATGGTATTGCTACTTTGCTAGCGTTATAGTGATAGAGCCTTCCATGTTCCTATTGGATGGTTATATGCAATTTGCGTACAAAATTGAAACCGATCTTGGTTCTCAGGTCATCTGGCGCACCATCTCGAATTGATGTTGGATCTGGCCAGGATTGCAAAGGGTACTCCCATTACCCTATTTTTTTTGTTGCATTCTTTGAAAACTAGAATATGTTTGGAACGTAGAAATTTCACATGAGTTATACAGGAATTTCACATGTTCAATCTTACTAATAGAATTTTTTCCCCTAAATAGTCTCTAAACTTGGTTAAAGAGTACTCGTTGGAATACACTCTTAGTGCATGCAAGGACGATGCGGGAACGACGGTGCGGCAGTACATGGACGGTGCGGGAACGACGGCAACCAACGGCAATGGGAGGAGATTTAGATACTTGGTTTGAATGATTACATCGAGCCGGATTTGGTTTGTTTAAGCGTAATTATTGTTGGATTTAATTGGGCTTGTGAAATCTCTAGTTTGGTTTTGGTGAATTGATGAAACCCTAAGTGCTAACCTAGTTTATCAAGTGATCATGAGATAGGTAGTACACTCTAAGTGGTGAAGCAAATGAAGATCATAGCATGATGATGATGATGGCATGGTGATGATCAAGTGCTTCGACTTGGAAAGAAGAAAGAGAAAAACAAAAAGCTCAAGGCAAAGGTATATTTTGTAGGAGCTATTTTGTTTTGGTGATCAAGACACTTAGAGAGTGTGATCACATTTAGGTTTGATAGCCGTACTATTAAGAGGGGTGAAACTCGTGTCGGAATACGGTTATCAAAGTGCCACTAGATGCTTTAACTCATTGCATATGCATTTAGGATCTAATGGAGTGCTAACACCCTTGAAAATGTTTGTGAAAAATGCTAACACATGTGCACAAGGTGATACACTTGGTGGTTGGCACATTTGAGGAAGGGTGAAGAAGTTAGAAGTAAAAAGGAGTTAGTGTCACTGGCTATACAGTGACCGAACGGTGGACCTCTGGGCGACCGGCGCGTCCGGCCATGTATAGCACTGAAGACGCCAGCGTCGGTAAGCGACCGGACGCTGGAAGGATGTGTCCGGTCGTGTTGTCAGACGGCGTAGAAGAAAGTCATTATGTGACCGGACGCTAGCAAGGTCCGGTCAAGCATGACCGGACGCGCCCGGTCAGTTGTAGCGGAGCGTCCGGTCAACAGATGACCGTTGAGATCAGACGACTCCTGTTGAGCGCAGTGTGACACGTGGCTGACATCGGGCGGCCGGACGCTGGGTTCAGAGTCCGGTCAGTATGACCAGAGCGTCCGGTCACCTCGCGCTGTACCTAGTGAAGGGGTACAATGGCTCTATTTCATGGAGGCTTCTATTTAAGCCCCATGGTCGGTTCAAGCTCACGCTCTTGGCAATTTGCATTGACATAACAACCTTGTGAGCTTAGCCAAAGCCCTCCCACTCATCTCCATCATTGATTCATCATCTTTGTGAGATTGGGAGAGAATCCAAGTGCATTGCTTGAGTGTTTGCATCTAGAGGCACTTGGTGTTCGTGTTTCGCTGCGGGATTCGCTTGTTACTCTTGGTGGTTGTCGCCACCTAGATGGCTTGGAGCAGCGAGGATCGTCGAGTGGAGGGTGGTGATTGTGAGGGGTTCTTGACCTTTTTCCGGCGGAGCGCCAAAAGGTACTCTAGTGAATTGCTCGTGGCTTGTGTGATCCTCATCTTGTGTTGGTTGTGCGGCACCCTATTGAGGGTTTGGCGTGTGATGCCAATTAACATGTGAACCTCCAAGTGAGTGAATCGTCACAATGAGGAGTAGCTTGCCGGCAAGCAAGTGAACCTCGGTAAAAAATCATTGTGTTCATCCTTTGATTTCGATGTGATTGGTCTTCATTGTTGTTCATTCTTGTGATTGATTGGCTCCTTCATCTACACGACGGTATAACTTTCTTGATCACTCTCTTTACATTACTGCAAACTAGTTGTCAAACTCTTTAGTGTAGCTAGTTGTGAGAGCTTGGTTGGTTGGTTGGTGTGGCTCTTTAGTTAGTCTTTGAGAGCACACTAACATAGGGTAGTGTCATAGCTATTGTGTGAATAGATTCTCCCTAAACTAGAATTGTGGTAGGTGACTTGCATTTTTAGTAGGTTAGCGCAACACTTGCTTCACCTCATAATTGTCTAACCCTTTTGTTAAGTGTTGTTGTAGAAATTTTATTTGGCTATTCACCCCCCCTCTAGCCATTAGAACCTTTCAAGTGGTATCGAGCCGAGGTCACCGTGATTTGAGGCTTAACAATCTTCGGTGTAAAATGGCTCAAATCAACAACACAAAGAAGCCACCCCAATTTGATGGCACAAATTATTCATATTGGAAGTAAAAGATGACCACACATATCAAGTCAATCAATAGAAAGGTGTGAAAGATGGTAGAAACCAAAATTGAGATTGATGATTAGGAGAATCTCACCACGGTCGAAGAAGTGCTTCTCCAAAACAATGATATTGCTCTAAGTGCCATTCATGATGCAATTGATGAAAGAACATTTGAGCAAATCAAGAATATTGAGATGGCTCATGAGGCTTGGAAGAAGTTGTAAGAATCATTTGAGGGGACTCAAGCCGTGAAGGGTGTAAAGGCATACATTCTCAAAGAGAAGTTTGCAAGTTTCAAGATGAAAGATGATGAGAGTGTGCCGGAGATGTTCCATAGGCTTCAAGTGCTTGTCAATGATCTCAAAGCACTTGGAGAAGAGGTGAAGGACAAGGACTTCTCGCACAAGTTCTTGAGATGTTTATCTTTAAGATTTGGTACATTGGTCACTATTCTAGTGAGGAGTGGTTTGGACACTATGACATCAAACCAAGTGTTGGGAGACATAATGACCGATGATACATATCGAGATGATGATGAGAAGGAAGAAAAGAGAGAGAAGAAAGATGAGAAGAAGGATGACAAGAAGAAGAGCGTGGCATTCAAGGCCACATCATCTAAGGGCAAAGCCAAGCAAGAAACATCAAGTGAAGAAGATGATTTATGGGATGATGATGATGAGAAGATGGCTCTCTTTGTCAAGAGATTTGGCAAGTTCATGGTGAAGAAGGGCTATCGTGCTAGAAGAAAGAAGTCTTCATCCAAGAACAAAGAAGAGTCAAGGAGATGTTTCAAGTGTGGAAGCAAAGATCATCTTGTTGCTCAATGTCCATACAATAGCGAAAATGATGATGACAACCAGAAGAACAAGAAGAAGGACAAGAAGGAAAAAAAGAGAAGAAGGACAAGATGGCCTTCAAGAAGAAGAAGGGTGGTTCATATGTGGTCACTTGGGATAGTGACGCTTCCTCAAGTGATGATGATGATGATGATAGTGATGATCACAAGACCACCAAGAAGAAGGTTCTAGCAAGCATTGCTATCAATGAGAAGCCTTCTCTCTTCAACTCTTCATCATGCTTCATGGCTAAGGCCACTAAGGTACAAACTTGTGATGATGAAAGTGATGAAGAACATGATGATGATAATGATAATGAAAATGAAAATGAAAATGATAGTGATAGTGATAGTGATGATGATGAACCTACTAAGGATGAATTAATTGACATGCTAGAAGATGCTAGAGAACACTTTGACATCAAAAGAAGGGAATGCAAAAGCTTATGTAAGGAACTAAAAGCCCTTAAGCAAGCCTTTGATGAGCTCAACGCATCTCATGAGAGGCTAGAGGAAGCCAATGAGAAGATTGGTAAAGCTCACAAAAAGCTTGAAAAGGCTCATTCCTCTTTGCTTGATGAGCAAAATAAAAAGAAGCATGTTGATACTTGTGATGTAGGTTTAACTTGTGATATAATTGATGAATCACTATCTATGCCTATCATTGCTCCTTCTACTAACCCTTCTTATAGTACTTCCACTTTCATCTCATCTAGTGATGACGGTCTCACTTGTGATGCCTCACTAGTGGTTGAGAATGAGAATCTCAAGAAGGAGGTTAACAAGCTCACTCACACTTTAGCTAAGGCCTATGGTGGTGAGGACCGCTTGCTTATGTGCTTGGGTAGCCAAAGAGCTTCTCCCTACAAAGAGGGATTGGGCTATACCCCCAAGAAAGGCAAGGCAGCCTTTGCTCACAAGACTAGTTTTGTGAAGAACAATGGTCAGTTTTGCATTAGTTGCAAGCAAGTGGGTCATAAAGAGCATGAATGCACCAACAAGAGCAAAAATGCTAATATATCCTCCCTTAAGCTTGATTCATGCTATATTCTTATTAAGGGTACAAATGGTGTGAAGGCTAAGTTCATTGTTAAACCATGGATGGGCTCAAAGAAGAAAGTCATTTGGGTACCAAAGAGCCTAGTGACTAACCTTCAAGAACCCAAGCAAGTTTGGGTACCTAAAAAGAATTGATCTTCTTTTGTAGGTAAATTACAAAGACGGAGGAAGACATTGGGTTCTTGATAGTGGGTGCACTCAACACATTGAAAGCTCTAGTTTGGTTTTGGTGAATTGATGAAACCCTAAGTGCTAACCTAGTTTATCAAGTGATCATGAGATAGGTAGCACACTCCAAGTGGTGAAGCAAATGAAGATCATAGCATGATAAAGATGATGGCATGGTGATGATCAAGTGCTTCGACTTGGAAAGAAGAAAGAGAAAAACAAAAAGCTCAAGGCAAAGGTATAACTTGTAGGAGCTATTTTATTTTGGTGATCAAGACACTTAGAGAGTG